TATGTCAATGATTTCAGGGAAATTACTGTCATATATGTATATTTATTCTGGAGCAATCAGTGAATATGTATGTAAAATACAGTATAAAACCAGGAGCTTTCCTGTACTCAGCATGCATGGAATTTTGAAGGAGATAGTTCCTCATGACTTCTGACAAATAAAGAATGCCCGATTCTTAATATTACATTGGTGTTCAGGAGTTTATTTTTACTGGTATTTGGTTACAGCTGGGTAGTTGATGTTCACATCTCCCTCAGACCTGTATTTTTATCTAGCAAATGAAGGAGAGTACTGTGCTGGGATTATAACTTCTTGCCAGGCTCAGGATCCCCTGTTTTTTGCTGTTTCTGGATTAATTTCTTCCAGTCAGGTTTGGAACCAGTGTAAATTTGCTGAGTTTCACAGCAGGCAGGCATGACTTACACTAACTGAGGCCGGTCTCAGGCATGGACAAAAAAAACCTCCAGAAAATCCCTGTTCTCTTCTGCAAGACAGAAGAAGCTGATTCTCCCTGCAGAGAACCTGGTGGGAGGCTGAGGGTGCCTGAGGGGCAGAACAACCCCATGAACTGTCAGCAGCTGAGCCAGAGAAGCCCTGGTTTGTCCATGCATTCACATGCTCATGTCCCTTTCCCACAGCCCTCAAGACAGGCACAAAGCACTTGGAGACAGCAGCCTTGACACAGCCAAGCTTAGAGCAGCTTTCCTACCCCTGGTGTCACAGTGGCCTCCTGCAAGCTGGGCCAGGGCATGGCAGGAGGAGGAGGCTCACCAGGTCAGAGCAGCCTGCTCAGACCTCTGCTCCCACTGTTCTTTCTCTGCTCTTTTTTGGCCACAGAGCTATGGAGAAGTGACACTCACATCCTCTGCAAAATGACTTGCTGACAAATGTGTGAGAAGGGCCAGTGGGGCCAGAGACATGGAAACTGGAGGTGAAGTGTGTGCCAGTTGGCTTAAATTCAAACCAGCCAATGTGGATGGAAAACTGAGTGAAGAGGCAAATTATGGCTAATCACAACAGCTTAAAGGAATATGTGAGATCATCCAGAGCCAAGTCAGCATCACAAATTCCCCTATCAAAGAGAGACAGCAAAATGCATCCTTGGGTCTTCTGCATCCTGCCCCTTTGGTCTTCTCCCATCCAGAACATCAAGCAGAGGCAGATTCTCAGGGGTGAGCAGGCAGGTTTCATCGGTTGGTGTGCCAAGAAGCACTTTCTAAATTTGGAGAACAATCCTATCTTGTCTCTGGACCATGACCAAGAGCCCCACTTTGGCCCTTAGCCTCCCCTCAGGGTTTTACATCGAGGCTATGTCTACATCTCATTGATACTTCCTGACTAGTCTCTTTTGAGAATCACAGACTTTCTTCTCATCCATGTGGTAGGCACCAGGGATCACAGCATAATAGAATAGCCTGAATTGGAAGGGACCTGAAAGTTCATCTGGTTCTAATCACCTGCCACGGGCAGAGACAACTTTCACTAGACTATGCTGCTCAGACCCACATCCAACCTGTCCTTAAACACTTCCAGGGATGAGGCATCCACAAATTCTCTGGGCAAACTGCCAGTGCCTCACTACCTTCACAGTAAAGAATTTCTTCCTAATATTTATTAGGTGGAAGCCATTCCCTTTGTCCTGTGCTCTTGTAAATAGCCTCTCCATCCTGTAGACCCCTTCAGGTACTGAATAGCTGCAATTAGGTCACCCCAAGGCTACTCTTTTCCTGGCTGAACAAACCCAATTATCTCAGCCTTTCTTCATAGGAGAGGAGCTCCATCCCTTTAATCAATCATCCTGGTATCCCTCCTGTGAACTCGCTCCAACAGTTCCATGTCCTCCCTATGCTGAGGACCCCAGAGCTCGATTCAGTGCTCATGCTGGGGTCTCATATGTCTGTCCTAATTTCCAGTGTCACAGTGCCACGCCCTGTTGTCCTCAGGTTAGGTTTTTCACAGTCACCTGCACATGTCTTCCTTGGTTACCCTTTCAATTGGGTGATACTGACTGAACATACAACAGGTGATCTCACGTCTCTTTTTCCAGCTCCTCTTGTGCTGCTGTGCTTTGCTGAGCTGCCAGCTGTGCTGGTGTTTGTTGGCCTCATGCTTCCCCATCCCGCTACCCTCCCTCATTCCAAGCTGTAAGGTCTTTGGGGAATACACCATCTATAGTTTTGACAGTCCTTCAGCACAGTGGGGCCCAAGCCTAGTAACCAGCCCTCTGCCCTTGCTCATAGCTCCTTTGGAGTTTAGCTGCTGTACCCAGTTCTTGCTTGGAGGTTTTAGAGCTAAATCTCTTTTGTAATTATAGTTCTATATAAAGTAGAACAGTTTCCTTTACTAGAATAAGTAATGACCTGATTTCTATGTGCAGTGCTCACAGGGGAAAGCACAAAGCCTGTCCTACTATATTCCTATAGGATCTGGTAGGAAGAGTCCTGTCTAATCATTGGCAAGTCTTACAGAAAATCTGCTCTGCTGCAAAACTAAGGAAAATAATGAATAATTCATTTCCTTATCCATTTCAGGATTGTTTTCTGCAAAACATCTATTTTAATAATTTATGTGATTTTTAGCTGCACCATGCTGCAGATGCAGAGTACAGAGGGGAACCCTACTGTTTGTCTCAGAGTAGCCTAGAGGATTCCTTAGTGCAAAATTCGAGCCCCCATTGGAACAATTTCCAAGTGAAGACTGAAAGGTGGAAATCAGGGTAGTTAACAACATTCAAAGTAGAACAATTCTCTGAAAATCACAGTTCCAGAGGAGTCTTCCTGTGATGCCAAAATGGTCATGATGATGTCAAAATGTTGATGATGTCAAGCTCATAAGAGCCAGCTGGGGGACAGAAGTAAGCATAATCAGAGTTATCATATTTTCCAATGTGTATACAGAGTCTCCCTATTTCCTCAACAGCACTTGGCAAAGACATGAACTTAACAGTTATAGAATTCCACTCCAGTTACTATTCCAGGCTGTAACTGATTCCTACCTCAATCAGATCCATCCAAGTGGTGGAGCTGTGGATTGAGGTTTCCCCTAGAACTCAGGCAGGAATGGCAACTATCTGCAATACCACACTAGGGGACAACCCTGCAATGCTGGTCACACCTGTGGAAGGGTCAAAAATCTCTGGTCACGTTCTGACAAAAAGGGATGGGTCAGCAAATGACATGTTAAAAGCTAATCACAATCCATGAAGGGAGGGATTAAGAAAGAAATGATGATCCTTCATAATGGAAGCCAATGTATTATGATGCTACCACTGATTTTTTGGGCCAGTAGAGGCATATCTGGGTTCATTAACCTGAGCATCAGCACTCTCTTCACATACATCCTGTTCCACCTAACAGCACTTATTTCAGATGGGGACATGCTGAAAATGTCCAGCTTGCAGCAAAGTGTTTCAGCCTGCTAATTCATCATCAGCTGTCTGTGCCCCACAGGGCACATGGTGGGCACAGGTACTTTAAATATTGCTCTATCATTAAAAAAGATAATAATCTCCTTTACCCTCTAAATGACAATAATTTTTTCATTCCTGCTCCAGGAAATAGGAGATACAATTGTCCAAGACAAATCGTGTAGATAAGGTAGACCTTGTTTGCTTCTAAAAATAATACATAGAAATACCACCAGCACTAGCATTTGACAAACTACTTTCCAAAAAAGCCAAATAGAAGTGCAGCAAAAATATTTATCCTTCCTCAAAGTAAAAAAAAGCCACAAGCCAAAAAGTGTCAGGAAGCTGGAGTAGCACTTGCTCTCCTCCTCCTGGCTGTAATCAACCCCCCAGGCACAGATCCTGTTGGGTCTCACAGCCCCAGCTCCACAGATGCTGGCTGAGCACCAAGGTTACAGAAGACAATTCTGTGCCCACCACACATTAGCTGGGATAAGAAAATGCTGTGCTATGGGAAGTGCTTGAAACACTAATGGAGAGGAATACAGGCACCATTATAAAAGGATGCATACAGAATTAAAGATCTCTAATACTACATAGCCCTTCCCCCCCGCCTCTCCCTCCCCAGGCTTTAAAGAGATCAAGGTATGTACTTCTGCATTTTAACACATTAAATCTCCGAGTATTATACTTCAATCAGTTATATTTTCACCCATTTGCTGACCCAAAGCAATACATATTCTAAGCAATGCATGTTCCACATAGCTTCAGCATGCTGTCTTGAATTTTATACAATGAAGTAGCAGCTTAGACTTACATCATTTGCTGTGCCTTTTTAAAACAACACCTGGGCTGCATGGCATTGCCAATGTCAATTATTTGACTGAGGAAAAATTACCTGTTAAGAAAGAAGGTGACCATTTACTTTACAGCCTGGGCAGGAAGAACTTGCTGCCCAAGATGAACATGGCCTGAGAGACAGATGGCTGGTGAAATGCAACAACCATGAAGCTGTGGAAGGTTTTCTAAGATACAACCTAAACCTTCTCTATACTTAATTAAACCAAGTTCTGCACTCTGCAGTGAGTATAAACATTGATACTTCCTTATTTTAACAACTTCTTAATACTTCCCTTCCCCCCTGCCCCGTCCAATTTCTTTCATTTTCTCTTCCCTAAGAAAAGCAGCATCCAAGTGCTCACAGGTCAGTTTGGATCTGTACTGGTGATAGCATAAATTCTAACTTTTTGAACAAATGCTTAGGTTTGTATCATGGTAAGAGGTCATTCTTGGGGAGGAAGGAAGGCAGTGCCCGACAGACATCTTCCCTCAGCAGTGCCAGCCAGTTTTAGGCACCCACCAGGGATATTCTCTGCCCTGGGTTTGACATTGATTTTGGGAACAAGCATATCACAGGACAAAGCTAAGGCACAAGCAGGCAGGATGACAAGACTTGAAGGCACTGGCATGCAAGGGGTTCACAGGAGAAGGAATTTCACACTTTCACTTCATTAAATCTATCTTCCTGCAAGACAGGAAAAATAATCACCCAAACCAGTTGGATTGTAGTGATACAATCTGACACAGAGCCAGATGATATTTTCTGATTTTATTTGAAGTTGACACCTTGAGACAAGGCACAACTGAGAGGATCAGAACAGTAAGAAGGTAGCAGGAACCTTGCCTCCCTCCCCTGCAACTTCATGAACTGCAGATCATTAAAAATAAACCAGTGTGACATAATAAATTGCAGAAGATATTTAAATCAGAGTGGAGCAAGGAAAGAAAGAGACAGCCTCAAATCTGAAAACAATTTAAAAATCTGTTATAAGAACCTATTTTAGAAGTTTCAAGAGTCACACAACAAAGTCCTTGCGACCTAGTGTCTATAAATAACCACTTTCCAAAATCAATGGTATTAAGTTGAACATGCATAGTTTTTATTCCTTGTATTCTCATGCAAAATATGCAAATGCTAATATTTCCAGTTCCATATTTCCAAATTAGAAGATTAATTATTGCAACACCCATAAAATTCTGCTAACTCCATGAGTGTGAGTTTCCAGCCATGTAGAGAAGTTCTGACCCCCAGTTTACATTTTAGCAAAGAAATGAGACAGCCTAAACCCAAGGAGTTTCCTAGGAAGTTGAAGCACTCCCATTTCTTTATTTTTATTTTTGTTAAATAAAGTGATGACCCAAGCAGGAACTAAAATGACATAAAGCACCTTATCTGAATAAGTTGCAATCACACTTCATCCTTGGGAATACCACAGAGCTGTTAGAATCCATTTTACCTGATCCGTTAAGTAAAACATTTTTCCTCTGTATTACTGCATATCCCAAAAATAAAATCCACAGTGCTTCAGTTTAGAATGATGTATAATTTATTCATATATTCACAAGTAGTTGGACACTACTCAATTTAATCTCCATATGCAAGTGATTTACACAAACATATAATACTAAAATTGATTGCTTAGAAGGTAAAAAATACCATGGGTATGAAATGCCATGGTAGATGTTGTTCAGTATACTACACAATCTTAGTGTCAAACACGTTTATTAATTTATGGTTTTAGAAAAAAGGCAGTTTGCCATTTTGAATTTTTTTTATAAGTAGTCTGGGAAACACAAGCAGTTTATTCTAAACCTTCTAACCAATTATTTCTCCCAGCTCTTAGGAACTGAATTAACAACCAAAGCAACATTTTCAGTAGTTGAAAGAAAAGATACATATTTCTGCTTTCCTGAATTCACCAAGCACCACGTGACCAAATCATATTGCCTTCCAGTGTGTGACACAAACCACTAACCTCTGTATATCCAAAGGAATGCACAGGAATCTAGACCATGCTTTAGCATGGTGGTGTAGGTGACAACAGCCTGATGTTATAATTTTTGGCCTCTGCCAGTATCTGTTAGTTGTGAATGTGTTCACAGCTCACTGTGTTAGCATCACCAGATCATTTGGTATTCATGCATTTGATCGTAATTCTGCATAAACTCTTCTCACTGAAACTTGTATCTCATAAGCCTCATTAATTTTGCATTAAGCATATAGTGGTTGCATGGAGAAAATTGGACTTTAATGTGTTTGTCTGAATTAGATTAAATTGCATTATCTTCTAGATGAGGTCCAAACATATATTTTGCTTGAAATGCCAGTAGTTATCTTAAAACATACCAAGAAGTTAAAAAGCTTTCACAATACAAGATCCAGGTACTTATTCCACATATACAAAAACACTGCTAGATAAATACAATTCAATTGTCAATGCTGAATTATGAAGAAAGTCTAAAAAAATAGAAAAACTCTGATATCTGGACATCAATTCAGAAGGTAACACTTCATAATGAGGCAATATGAGCACCCATTTAAAATGAAAAATCCCCAACACAAGAAGCATAAGGGGATCATGTGACAAAAATAGATGAACACTGCGCCAAAAACATGCACACGATTGCCATGGTCATTCAGTATGCTAGTGATGGTCTAACAGTGATCTTAACCAAGAGTGAGATGGTGCTTCCATATGAAATCAGCTGAGTATCTACATATTGATTAAACTTTCTGATGCAGCAAAATGAGGACACAGAGCCATCTCTGGGTTCTGGAGCTGTCGCAAGATTCGCTTGTAAAATTTCTCCCTAACGCGATTGAATTCCATTATGTCCAGTGGATCCTCATCAATCCAGAATTTGTGGAATTCATGCATTAAGTAGCCTACAAAGCAGTAAGAAGGAAGAAGAGATAAATACTGCATGTAATGATGACATATAAAATTAGAAAGTAGCTCGGAATTAATAATTATAATCTGCACAGAGAATCCTGGTCACAGAGATCTGACACCTCATGACACTGGGCAGGAACAAGACTAAACCTGTTCTGGATAATGCCAAAATTGGATGAATATTACACACACAGGCAGAATATCTCACAATAAACACAAGAAGTTGCTAGTCATCTTGACATATGGATTCACAAATTGAAACATAAAACCAGGGAGTATAAAAACAGGGAAAGATGCTGCAGGTACTCATTAGCAGTTCCTTGCCTACACATTGAAAAATATTAAAAGTATTACTCCCACTGTGCAAAGATGAACAGCAGGTCTCTGCTGTAGCAAGGATGCTCAAATACAGGGGAAAGAGCTGTCAAAACATTATTTTGGCGTTGGAGCTGCAACTCTGCTGAAGGGTGGGGAATAACACTACAGTGTAGATGCAAGTATTGTATGACAGTTGGATTTAAGGGGAAACAATAGTCAGACATTCCTTAAAGCACATTTGCTTTCTTCTTATTATTTCAAAACTAGGAAGGTCACTTGGTAAGGTGCTTACTGCACCTTCTTGTTTGTGTTTCTTTATTTGTTTTACACCTTGGTTTGGTAGTGGCCTCCATCACAGCTTAAGAGCTGAATCCAAGCATCCTAGACAGTCACCATGCTGTGTCAGAGGACTTTATTTCTTTTTTTAAACTGTGGGCAGTATTATGTTAGCAGAGTACCAATTATGCATTTCCACCCCTTGCCCCACACTCACACCCTGCACTTACAGAATGTCTGCTGAAAGTGGGTGAGCGTTGGTGCTTCTGGAGCAACGTTGTAGAAGTGGGTCTTCAGAGCCCCACTCACGAGCAGGTTGTATGCAAGGTCTGTTATGTTAATGCCCACGATGGCAAAAGAGTAGCTGTAAGGAAAAGCAGGAACTTTTGTTGAGATTTCACCTTCTTTTGTCACGTTTTCAGGAATACTGATGACCCTGATGTTGCAGATTTCATATTACTGAGATGTAGTAATTCTCTCCTTTGTAAGTTTCCAAGGTGCAAAGCAAGGAAAAACATTTATTCTGCATGCTTTTTCTAGCATTTACCTTGGGAAATACATGGCCACGGTAAAAACAGGGATTTCATCACTGTGGCAGCCTTTTCAGTAGAACAGGCTGAAAATAAACCTACAAAGTAAGAACAAGCACAGATGTTCCTGTGGTCTTGCACTTGCCACTGAACCAGGGCAAGGACTCCACATGGTGGCCACAGCTGCAGGGTGACCCATCATTTGTTATTTTTAACTGCTGGAGTTCCCACTGGAACCCATTACCCATAGTTAGGAACCTGATGCTTCAACAACCAATCCTATAAATACATTCATATGCCTAAAAAGCTTGTGAAAAAGATCCAGTTGGGTCACCTCTAATTTCTCCCTAAAAGAAAACTAGAGAAAAAGGCTAGAAAACAGGCAAAATCCTAAATCAAAGCATGCTGGAAACTGAAACAAGAAAATCAGACTCATTAAGCAAATTCTGTCCTGTTAAGAGATATCAACAAGTGAAGTATATTTAAGCACAACAAAACTCAGAAACTGGAAGTCAATTTGTAAGGCTGGTACATAAAGACCTTGACATTTCTAGCCATGACTATTTCCCAAGAAGGCATATAAAGACTCGCATGGACGTTTAGTCATAAAAGCAAACATGTTTGGATATTCAGTGATTGAATTTTTTCTCAGCTAAAGACAGCTGTCTTTTCTAGACTGTCTTGGGTATTTTTTCTACCTCTGTCAAACAAACAGAAAGATTTTATTTTTCTTTAACCTTTTTTACATTTCAGGAGGAAAAAAAAAACCAACAAATCAGAAGTCCAGAAGTTAACTTCAGCATGTGGCCTAATGTCAAGTTTCACAGAAAAATTAAATATGGGCAGTAACATCTTGTATTACAGATTTTTAGATACATTCAGAAGGAACATGCTGTTCCATTTCCATGAATAATGCAGTTATACCAAACCCACTGTTAAAGAAGAAAAAACCCTCAGTACTATTTCTTTGCTATTATATTTTCCTAAAAGCAGTTCTGAACCTGGCTTTGACAGCAGGAAGTGAAACTTGATCATGTTATGTGCTAAGAAGAATTAAACATATATTAATCACCACACTATATATAGCACACAGGAAAAGCTTCTCCTTGCTACAGAATTTTTGGGTTATTTTTTTCTGAATGTAGCTTTTTTCTCTTGTAATCTTTGATCAAAGTCAAGATGTGGCAGATGTACATATGCTCACAGAAATTTGCTTTAAAGATTAATTAGAAAACACCTTTTCTCCCTCAAATTTACAGCATCATTGTTATCTGCTGTGTTTGTAGCAAATTTTAAAAGGTCTTTAAACTTACCCAATTGCCTTATCAAACTTTTTCTTCTCCCATTCAGCTTTGCTAAGTTGGCTGAGGAAGAAAAAATAGTTAAAATCCAGGTATTGCCAAACATTACTAACTGAAAAATATTTTCTTTCAACTTCTCTGATGTTATAATATTGATTGAACATGATATTTTATCTTCTTTTACATGGCTAATCCCATTTAACAGTCCTTCTGTCTGAATGGATTGATAAAAACAGACTTGAAATGGGTAACTGTTTTAGAGCATTTCCAACCAACTCGTCTCACCATTAGAAAATGCACCATTAGAAAATGCACCATTAGAAAATGTCAATGCTCTCAGCAAAAGCCCATTGTTTTCTAAATTAACCACAAAAGGTGATCCACTTCAGTTAAGCTCGAGCTGTACAAGAAGTTGAAATTACATTTAACTAATCAAAGATGGTGTTAGCTTTTTTGTGTTTTCAGAGATATTCGTGATACTCATCACTGGTGATGAGGCATGATTCACCTGAGGTAGCAAACATGAAAATACTCCTCTGACAGTAAGCTTTTTTGACTGGCCAAATTAGAAATCCCTCAACAGCCAAAGATAAGGAACAGTTTCCTATTATTTGGCACAATAATGCAGTGCTTTTCAAGGACACAGAAGACGCCTCCCTTAAAATAAAATTAGTTAGGGAACAGATTGATTTTAAACTAAATTTCAGCTCTTCAAGGATTTAAGAGCTGTGTGATCCAGCCAGTCAGCCAACATCCCACTAGCCAGGTTTGAGTCTACTGAAATGAGCAAGTTTAGCAGAAATCACTGCCTGCATTTAAAACCAGCTAAAGGCAGGCACAGAACTGACCTAACCAGGAGCCAACAACCTTGACATGGCTGTGGGAGTTTTGCTCTAGTCAGGCAAATCCAAGTTTTCAAATTTTAGGTCCTAAATTATAGACAGCTATGTGTAAAAGCATTTTTCTTAGACCATTCTTGAACTTCAATACATATATATCACACTAAAAACAATTCCCTGAGTTTCAGGTAAGTATACTATATAAAAATTTTTGTCATTAATTACTTAAGATGCTAATATATTCATACCCATTGTGACCTGAGGGTTACTAGCTGATGTTCATGAGGACAAAACTTCAGCTCCTTAATAGCTTTGCATGCAGGAATACACTGTTCTTTGCTCATCCTCTAAAATCTGAACCATCTTTATAGGCTGTGGCATAACACCAGTTAGAAAACCCCAGGTAAAGACTGAATAATAAGGATGGCACACATAGGATGTGGGCAAGTGAAAGAGTTCATCTGAGATAGAAAATCCATTGATCATGATCCCATCAGAAAACAGCACAGCTGCTAAGCAAACACATCAGGAAGATCACCATGGACACCACCTGGAGCATCTTCTACTGAATGCTCTGTCAAGGCATAGAAATTGCACATGCTCACACTGCACTCCAAGACTGCCCTTGGTAATCAAACATGCAAATGAACCACGCTAATATGTTCCAAGGGCTTTTTGTCATAGAGTTACCATTAGGAACTCAGCAAAAAAAAAAATCAAGAACCCTGAGGAGATCAAAAGCTTCAGGATTTAGGTGTAAACCAGTTTTATGGATATGTAACATTACTGGGTTATGGATATCTAACATTACTGGGCAGAAGAAGAATGTCTTTTAAGGCAACTGATTTCTGTGTAACTGGCTAGGAGGCCTCCACTCCCCAATAATTATGGGGTCTCTTATTGACAAATTACCTGCAACACAGTTTGTGACACTTGAAGGTACCTGATCTCTCAACAGTCAGGACAATGGAATAGCCACATTGGAACCATCATTAGTCAAGGTAGAGAGAGTATGTGAATATAAATAAAGGAGCTTTTCAGCTGTGCTAACAAATATTTGGCCTAGACTACTTATGATTATCAAGTCAGTCACTCTAACTATATCAAGCAAGGTGGATTTCTTTTTTGACATATAAGCAGTTCATATGTACCAGTGTTCAACTGCCCAGTTTGGGTCAACTCTAAAGGAAAGAATATGGATCTCCCAGTGTTGTAACAAAGACTTTAAGTTTGTAACACCCCAAATTGTAGTGTGATTTTTATTTACATGTACTGTCTCAGAAAACTTAGAAAAAAGAAAAAAAATACCTTAGTTCCTTCTTAGTGACTTCCCTTTATTATGAAAAAACACAAACAAATTAAAATAAAGGTAAATAAAACCACAAAAATAATTTGAAATCAGAGTGAAAACATTTAACACTAAATTTAACTATTTCCAAGATTCAGAATACAAGTTTGCCTCTTCAGGATCAGTACTTTAAAACAGACAGTATGTGGCAATACCCAAGGATATGCCCAACACAGAGAAAAAACCCAGCCCCCTTCCTCAAAGAGAACCAGCAGAATGCTCTCTTAAGTTATTGTTTCTGGTCTCAAACATACCTGTATTTAGGGTGAAGAGAATCAGTGAGAACTTGTTGAGCTATCTCAGTGTCCCATTCAGCAAAATACCTGCAGACATATATGTTCAGGGGGAGTTGTTTAGAAAAAAACAAGACAAAACAAGAACGACAGCAACAAAAAAATCTGAAGTCATACTAAGCTATTTATACACATTTTTTTAAAGGCCAGTGCATGTGTTACACAGTATGAGTAGCATCTGATGTGTTAAACTCATTAAACTGCCACTGAGACCACCAAACTGAAAGATTAAAGCAGCCTCCAACTCTTATATGAATTTAGTGAATGTGCATTACCAGAGTCTCTTTTCTACCCACACTACAGAAAACCAGTTGTTTATGACTGGAGCATGTCGGGTGCTGAGCTCAAGAGAAAGCAGTTCAGGCTTCTTGATCTGGCAGATTCATTAAGCAAGATAAGAGTCATCACAGAAGACTAAGAAATTAAATACATGGTAGGGATTAATTTCAAATGGAAGTTCAAAGCCAGAGTCAAGAATCCAGATCCTGAACTGAGATTTACTAGGGAACAACATACGGACAGAGGATGATTTATGTCCTTCAATCTGTAAAAGCCGAAAATACTAATTTTTCGCCTCATAAGAAGAAGTTATTTTACCAAATGTTTCTAAGTTATGTAACTGCATGCAGCAAATACAAGGGCTGGAGAAAATAACAGGCATTAGTCAATTCCCAAATTACATAGCACAGCTATGGCATTAACACCTGGTGTGCATGAGTTGGAAGGAAAAAGTGATGTAAACTCACTGCTTGAGTATCGACAGAAATTGAAGTAGTAGTCAAACTACCTAAATTTGCATTGCTGACTGCATATCAAGTCTTTTGTTTAAGAATTCAGCATGAAAATCCCAAAGAAAGCAGCTGAGCAGTAACATAACCCTCCCACCTACATACTTCCAGGGCATTTTGTTTAAGGAGATCTAGATATACTTTACATTTCTTTCTGGTAGGAAGAGAGTGTTAACTTGCTGTGTCACAGAGAAACTAAAAGAACGGCTTAGCAAATGGTATTACAAGGTTGAATTAGGAATACTGAAACAAAGGAGACCTCCTTGAGAAGAGAAACACTCCAAAAATTAGGCTAACAAATAAATTCTTTAATTTGCTTAATATGAAGTCCCTACCATTTTAATAAGTTATTCCTACAGATTTCCTAAAATCTGCAAGTAATTTTGCTTTTCATGACTTCAGACACACAGAAACCCATCTGCAGTGGGACATACTTACACCAAGTTATATAAACCCAGGAGACCCATTCCTCTAAAGTCTGTTTTAGGATCGTCACCTTGGAAACCAATTTCACACCATTGCTTCGAAATCCGAGCTTTCAGTGGTGAATTCGGCTTCAAGCATTTCCACAACTAGGAAGATTACAGGTAAAACATAATTAAGTTTACACACAGTAGAGCCTTTTTTTTTTTTTTTCTCTTTTTAAACCAAGCTAAATTCTGAACACTGAAGAGACGACTGCAGTAACTGCATTGCTATCCCAGCAACCCAAACACAAATCAAAGTTCCTCTGTATGTGTGTCTGTGGGGGGAAATCCCAAACTGCTCTGAAGTATTGCAGACATTTCAGCCTTACAAGGCTCTTCTGGCCTTATCACAGCTGTTCTAACCTCTCACACAAAGACCTGTTTTGCCCATGCTTTGTGCATCGAGGTGGTGTCTGCCTCCATAAGCACAGAGACAGGAATGGGCTGGAATTTGGTTGTAAATCACTGACAGAGCAGTAGAGCAGCTTTGAGTCCCTGAGGCTCTGCAACAATCTTTTCTCTGGCATCTTTTGCAAGTCTCTGGAAAGGTTATAAATCAAGAGACCTGACTTGGCTACCACAGTGTTGAAACACAAATTGGAGAACATAAAAAAAAAATCCATACAAGGATAGCATGTGTACCATCATATTTAACTAAGGGAAGAATCATTCATTGATCTCACATAAAGAAATATCTGATTTAACAAGCCAGATCATCAGCTGGAATAAATCCATTTAACTTCACTGGTCCAGCAACTTTAATGGCTAAATATTATGTCGCTATGATCCTAAAAGCAGCCTAAATTGACATATGACAAATACATACCTTTATGCATACCTCATGTTTCATATTACAATTCATATTACATATTACAAACTCACCCTTTCTGAAGTGTATTAATAAATCAGAATTTAAAATTAAGAAAGTGTATTAATCACCAATCATGAGTTGGTGAGTACACCCTCAAAATCACTTAGATAAAGGCTACCCAAGGGAAAGAGCTGTGTGCACATTTCCCAAATAAAAACAGAAATTGTTTTAATTTTAGCAATTCTAACTGCATTTAAAATTAAGTGCCCTGGGAAGGCTAAAACTTTAATGATTTCACTTTGTAATGACTGGATAAAGCATCATTGCTTAAACCAATGTTCATCTATCAACAGTAACTACAGTATTAATCATTAGTACAATCACATTAAGTTAATCTTTCTCTCATTCATAAAATGTTCTCCTGGTAAACATGAATAAATTATAGCCATTAGGAACCTGAATTACCCATTGTAGAGATCACTTAGCAGAGTATCTAGAAGGAATGAAAACCAACCAGACTATTCTTCCACAGTGAGGATTGGAAAATGAATTAAACCCTTGGACATATTTCCATTTGACATTTGCAAAAGTAGAACATCTGCTGTAAACAAGCGCTAATACTTAGGTGAAACTGATACTTTTCTCAGCATTCTGAGTTTGCATAATGTTGCACAAACTGCACTGTTTAATCTCTCCTCAGACAAATGCTCAGTTTCCATTCTGCTTTTATGCTCATGAAATTGTTTTTAAAACACTTCCATGACCACACATCATTGCTGACATGATTCCCAGGACCTTGCCCTTGCAGGCTGGATGGTGGGGGGAGACTACAGCCAAGCTCCTTGGTTTTTCTCCCCTGTGATCCCATCCCCAGACCCTACTTTCTCTCTGAGCAATGTAGATGCTTGTATTTAGGGTATTTAGGGATGCTTTCCTGGAGCCAAAGGCCCTCTTTAATCTGCAGTGAGATGCCTGATATTTTCAGGGACCAACACTGTAGGCTGCCACCTGGATTTCTCACCTGCAAGACATAGGCTTCTTCAATGGATAAATCTGTGTATCACTTTAGTTAAAACTCACTCTACTCCCATAAATTTGTGCATTTGGCTGCACAGGAGCAGGACTTGGAGTCCATCTGCCCAAGTCTACCTGATGGTTATAACACTCCTTCAGGGCAGCTCTGGATTTGGACCATTCCTTGGTGAGACTCTCGCCTCCCATCAGTGGGCAAACCTTAGAGGCAGCTTTCCAGACTCCAACAGGAACACTGACCATCTGAGGCATTTTTAGAAGTAGTTACTTGCACGTGACAGCCTTTGTATAATATGCCTACTGGGATTTCTGGAAGACCAAATAATTACAGTAAAATTTCCAGAAGCTCTCACTGTAACTTGTGCAAAGTTTTACACTGCAATCTACAACATGGAAGACATCTTCATGATTGTCTGGTATCGTTAAAGTCTTCAACAGTTTTGTCTTAAATTGAAAAAGAAACCCCCCCCCACAGCCAAACAGGTACTATGTTTTTATAAGAACCCTGAAAATTCTCTCTGAAGGCATTTTGCTTATAGACAATAAGCTCACTATCACTTATTCTATGTTTCTTGGAATTTCTCTGAAGCATCTTGCAATAGGTACAGTTAAATCAGGATCAGGACCAGGGCTTGCTATTAGACTGTTTTCCAGAACCTTTATTTTTTCATCAATTTTTTTCTAATATAAGAACTCTATAGCTCTTTCTCTGCTTATGGCTTCAAGATAGAAAATTGCTTTTAGTATCTGCTCCAGTGCAAGGCTTTTCTGAAAGCATGAAGGAAGTAAAACCCAATTGTTATGGTTTTCCTAACTCTGTGTGTGTTTATCTAAAGAATAGTTCCATTTTGTTTTCATTGAAAATACATTTGGCAACTATAAACATGTAAGTTGTCAACTCTCACTCTTCCACATAATAAAAAATAGATGTTTGCCATTGGTACACACAGACTGCCCTCAAAAATACAAGAAATTGAATAAATAAATTTTTAACTTGGTTAATAGAGAAAAATACCCTTCTTGTGTTGGAGAAAGGCGTACTGAAGTAGGACATAAAGCTACTTTTCCAGAGCTCACTGCAGATAACAGCTCTGTGCTCTAGGACGTGCGTTATCCAGTGCCTAGATATGGTCCAGCCGAGGGAAATGCACTTATCAGCCAGGGAGTGAGCTGCTTGCTTGGCAGGTGTTACACCACCCAGACCAGATTATAATGCTGTGTAGTCTTATCCTAAAAGAGGTACAGGATGGAGGAAGGTGACAACAGCTCTTGATGTTTCAAGGAGGTTTACGAAGCAGGCTTGGGAGCTGACATGACTAAAGGATGCCCTCTAAGCACCTCCTCAGCGCCTACCTTCAGCAGCATTTCCTCGTGCTGTGGATTCTCCGAATCGTACGGCTCTCGGCGCAGCTTCTCCACCTCCGCAATGAGATTTCTGTAGCCCACAATCTGCAGCAGGCATGCCTGAAGAGACACTCCCAACCTGAGGGTGAGGAGAGCAACATATTCCAACTCAATCAAGTACAGCCACGAAACAGCGCTGCCGCGTACGTGCACGGCCAATACACATGACTCCCATGAACTGATAGTCTAACACTTCAGTTGCAACAGGATAATTTCCAAGAGATCAATTTACATTAAACAAGGCATTGTGAAGGGCATAGACTCATTTAGTGCCTTCCTTAGATGATAATATTTGGGATTTTTTTTAAACCGTGAACAGTGATTTTTCACATTGAAATCACATTATAACTATACACAGCAGCATTGAATGTCTATAGCAAGCACATTACTGAATCTTTCTCTTCATTCCAATGACAGCTTCTCAAACAATTCCCTGGGATCAGAGATGTGAACTTGAAAAAGGCTGAGGGAGGAAAGAAAACTCAGCAAAAAGCTAAAAATAATTGTTTTGCTTCTGTGCCACTAAAGCTAGCATAAAGAAGCCAAAACCCTGAAGTCATATAGTTTCAAAGATCTGCCTCCAGGCAGATTTGGCTTTTGTCTCATGTTAAGAATTATCACAATGGTTCTCTTTTCATTATAATGCATATTATTGTGTTTCCTTTTTACATTTTCTGGTGCATCATCAAAAAGCCAAACCCAACACATGTGAAATAACTACCCTCAAAAAACCCTAAACCAAACTTAAAAAAAAAGAAAGAAAGAAAACTCTGCACCAAACAACTGCTTTACATTAAGATTTTGTAATACAAAATAGAAGTCATGCAGTATGCAACTGCCATGCTCATAGAAATATTTGCTTATATATGGAAACATCCCCTTTAATATTTAGAGTGTCTAAAAATATTGAACACCTGGTATGAATTTGGAGGGCAAGCTAAGTGTGCACCCCTATTCCTCTGTGGAACACAGGCTGCACTGATACTAGGCTGCACAGGTTCCTTGCCTGTTGTGCTTGATACACTGAAACATTTTTTTAATTATGTAATACTCTTAAATTTTCTGAACATAACTGCTTATCTTTTGAGGCAAATCCTTCTTGTCTAAATTGAACTCCCTCTATGGCAAGGTGACCTGCCTAGGATGAGGAAAAGGATGTGGATGTTTTCTACCTGAACCTTACTAAGGCCTTTGACACTGTTTTCCTCAGCATTCTACTGGACCTGCTGCTCATGGCTTGGGTGGGTGCACTGTTCACTGGATAAAAAACTGTCTGAGGGTGGTAGGGAATGGAGTTACATCCAGCTGGAGGCTGGTCACTAGTGGCATTCCCCAGGGATCAGTTTGGGACCAGTTCTGTTTTATATCTTTATGGATGATCTGGATGAGAGGATCAAGTGCACTCAGTCAGTTTGCAGCTGATACAAGTTGGATGGGAGTGTTGATCTGCTGGAGGGCAGCAAGGCTCTGTAGGGAAATCTGGGCTGTCTGGATCCATGGACCATGAGATTCAGGCGAAGCACTGAGTCCCCCATTACGTGAAAGACATTGAGGGGCTGGAGCGTGTCCAGAGAGGGGCAGCGGGGCTGGGGAAGGGGCTGGAGCACAAGGGCTGTGAGGAGCAGCTGAGGGAGCTGGGGGGGTCAGCCTGGAGAACAGGAGGCTCAGGGCAGACCTCATCACTCTCTACAACTCGCTAACAGGAGGGTGTAGCCTGGTGTGGGTTGGTCTCTTCTCCCAAGTAACAAGTGATAGGACAAGACAAAATGGCCTCAAGTTGCCCCAGAAAATGTTTAAATTGGATATTAGGGAGAATTTCCTTAACCAAAAGTGTTGTCAAGCCCTGAAAAAGACTGCAGGAAAGAAGTAGTGCCACCATCCCTGGAGGTATCTAAAAGACATGTAGATGTGGCACTTAGGGAAATGGATTAGTGGTGCATTTGGCAGTGCTGGGTTAACTGTTGGGCTTCAGAATTTTAAACCTTTTCTAACTTAAATTATTCCATGGTTAATCTAGAGAATCAGAGAGGTCAGCATTAGTCCATTTCTCATGCTGCGATTTTATCCCATTTGAAGTTATAACCCTTTCAGACAGAAAAGCCTCCACAGTATTTTCCATCCTTTGCTGTTTCTTTTTGAGGTTTTTTTTTGTTGTTGTTTTTTTTTTCCCTCTTTTTTAACATGCTTCACTAGCTATAGCCTCCAATTTTACAGAAAGGCTGCATTTCAAAGAGAGCTGAAAAGCCTGACAGACTGTGAATTGCTGTAGAGTATCACTAAATCACAGCCATAATATTTTTAACTTCTTTATAGCCTCAGTTTAGAGCAGCAGAACACAGGCTGTGGCAAAGCAGAGTAATTTTATATTAAAAAATACATGTTTTTAAGATACAAGGTGCACAACACATTTTTGCACTTTTGGTAAAGGCAGTCAAAAGCTCCACACAGTGTCATTCGGGTGAGGGGGTGAGAGTCAAATTAGATTTCCCCCCTTTCCTTTTCCTTAATGCTTTGTTGTTCTTGCCAAACATAGGATGTGGGTGAGGTGCTGATGTCCCACACCTCCTCCTTTTAATCCTGGTGCTGGCTGTGGCTGTTCTCAGAGCACAGAAGCAATGTACCTGGGCTTGCACTCCCACCATACTCAGCTCCAGGTGCTCCACCAGATGGAGGCAAGTCCAAAACTGGAGCAAGGGAACTAGATCATAATTAAGGTCCCTCCCAACCCAAGCCTTTCTGTGATTCTGTCTGCTTCCATAGTTAGTGTAGACTGCATGTCACCACCAGGTTATTCAACCTGCTTGCTCCTACTGCTAAAGATACACACTTATCTGAGAGGCATTGATAAAGGAAAATTACTGTGGGATGCCTTCTCCTCTTTAGTTCACAGCAGCCCACAGCCTTCAAGAACAGCTAGTGCAAGCAGCCCTGGGATGCTAGTTCAGCTCTGCAAAGATGCCACATTAACAAAAATGACTGCATACAGATCTGCAGAAACACATACAGTATGACACATGTCCCCTTTTCCTTACCCCAGGAAATTTCAAGTCTCTGCTATCCAACACAAGACCAGAGCTTCTAAACAAGATTGTTTGGATACAGGTGTTTTATGTTCAAGAGAAGGCAAGGCATTGGGTTTTCCTTAATCATGTCTAGAAAAGCAGTTGACCTGCTTTTGCTCAAATTTCTATTTCAGATGTCTAAAGTTCAGCAGAAATATGATTAATTTAATATAAGGACCAATTTAATGGCAGAGCATATATCTATATATGTGACCTCATCTTGCACATTTCAGGCCCCCATTCCTCACTGCTTTAAGGAGATATTTTACCAAATGGGAGGGAGTGCAAGGGGAAAAGGGGATGAGAGACTCAAATGCAGTAAAATATTGAATGCAAGCATTCAAGTCTAAAGCCAATTTGTCCTGTGCTAAGCATATGAATACCAACTGGATTAAAAAAAGATAATTCAGATGATTTTTTGTTTGGGTTATTTTCTCCATCTGTGTGGTATTTTAAAAAAATACTATTGTAGATTCACAGAATGGTTTGGGTTGGAAGGGACTTTAAAGTTCGTCTAGCCCTAACCCCCTTGCCATGGGCAGGGACACATTCCACTAGATCAGGTTGTTCAGAGCCCCACTTAACCTGGCCTTGAACACTTCCAAGGGTGGAACTTCTTTGTGGAACATCTGCAACTTCTTTGGGCAACCTGCTCCAGTGCCTCACTGCCCTCACCATAAAGAGTTTCCTCCTAACATCTAATCTAAGCCTATTCTCTTTCTATTTGAATCCATTCCCTCTTGTCCTGTCACTACATGCTTTCTAGCTCTCTTGTGGGATCTCTTAATGTACTAGAAAGACCAGATCACTAAAAATGTAACCTAATGTTCAAGGTCCTGATTTCAAGCAAGGAGAAGTCATTTGCATGTCTGCTCTCTCTCCCTCTTCTGAGGGAGAGCATTTCTTCAGAGGCCAAAGGCATGCCATGAGGGGAATCAGGGGGTAATCTCTGGTGTTGTACAAAATCATAATTAATTTCTTGTTTTCTCCTGAAATCATTCCACCCAGTTACTCAAAGGTCCAATACTGAGAAGTGAGTACTTGGACCACCCTGATTGCTAAACATTGCAGTTACTGATGCCCACAATCCAGGCTCTGAGCTGTGCACCTTTACATCCTGCAGTTTTTCCTCACACATCACCTTCACTAATTTTGCCATTGCTGGGTTTTTTTCCCTGAATTTCAGCAATCAGCATCCTGTGCAACACAAAGTACCAGCGCTGTGACACCCTCCTTAGATGGTAGCCTCTAAAAAAGGCCTCACATCTGCCTGAAGTGGCTGATCTTTCATCACCTTCCCTTTGAAGAGCATGTGGGCTGGGTCAGGAGACACTCCCAGAAAAAATTCACAGGGCTTCTCATCTATGAGAATGAGGGGTTCTCTTTGTTTTGTTTCTCTTATTTTCTTCCTTTCTTTAATGGTTGGGTCACCATTTTTTCAATTCTTGGGGCTGTGGTCAGCATCACAAGAGTTGTCTCAAATTAGAGAGATGCAGTGTATTCTATTTCCTTTATGATCAGTGAAACCTCATTTTAAGACTACCCAGTTAGAGGCCTTTTTAATGGGGGATGGGGTAGGAGGGAGATTCCTGTAATAAGACAAAAACCCCCATAATTTTCCAACTTAGCTTTTGGGTTTTGATGTTGCAGCAAGACCTTGGAACCACCTAACCTGTTGATGCTGCTGACCAATTAAAGAAAAGCAGTTATCAATTTATGTATATTAATTTTTAATGATGTATACCAACTTCAAGCTTGGGAAGAGGAGTGAACCTCAGACAGATCACTTGGATAATATAGCTCTCAACTTTTCTCCTACTGATTCCTGACCTAGACATCTTGTGCCTTAAGCAAGGAACTGAAAGGAAAGGCAACCACAAAAATGTTATCATCACCTACTCTTGAAATACATGGTTGTAAATTTAATGCTTGCTTGTCATTTTCTGCTAACAATAATAAATATCAGTTGTATCATTAAAACTTCTGTTTGGATAATTAAAGGCAGTTTTAAAATGTGCAAACCAGCATACATCTGTATCAGCTAAAACAAGATTGTTTCTTCCTAACTCAAAAGGCACAAGGCAACATACAGCCTTTCTAAGAAGCCATCACTGTCCCTGCTAGGACCTGTGGTTTGGTGGTGTTTTATCCCTGGGGAAGTGACCCTCATAAATCTATTCATTGACAATATACTAAGACAGAATCAGGTCGATAAAAGATTCAGGACTTGCTTATTAAGTCACCATAAAAAATCATTCATTTTTACATCAGTTTTTTTGACAGCAAAGCTAAAATTAAAATTTTATGCTGAGAGACAGAATTAATTTTCATCTTCTGTACCATAATAACTATAGAGAACAAGTTCTCCATGGACCCAAGAACTGAGGCAATCAGTAAATCCCACTTGCTCTGTAAGGAAACCATGAACTTACTGTGGATTTATATCTGGATTAATCCTTTTCAGCTCCATGATGTCATCTATTGTTTTTTCAATAGCATCAGGGTGAACATTTACTGATGTTTGCAGCCGCTAAAAAGAGGTTTTAAATACATATTAATTCCTACAGAAGCTATTACTCAAGAGAAGTTAACAGTGGTAAATTTGATACCTGAAACTTCTGCATTAAGAGCCCAAAAGACCCAACTCGACACCTGTACATATCTTCCCAAATTATTCAACCCTACTGACTCATTTCAGAGCACTTGCCCTGTAGGAACTCAAGTTCCTTCGCCCTCGCCCTCGTAGTCAGTTTATCTCATTGTTGTGGTGGCTGTCGGTGAAGGCAATCAAAGGCCTTAGTGCAGATCAAGAAGCAGCTTCAGGCCATTCACCTAATTACACTGGAATTGACAGCCTTCATTTGACATTCCCTCTCCCAACATGCTGCAGTAACACAGAAAATCATTCTTTAATTTCTTTCATATGTAATTGCTATCTGTAGAAATGCCCCTAGAAGTTCAGTATTCAAAAACCAACATGCTATCTGAAAATTTAAGAGGCTGAATTTTCTTGTGTTTTGTTTCAAAATTTCACAGTTGCTTAAATGCAAGTTTTTAAAATAAGATTTTGCCTTTCTGTTTGTGCTAGAAATGCATTTGGAACTACTATGCTGAACTAAGATCTAAACTACTTCATTTTTCTTAATGTTGAGGCAAGGTTTTCAACATCACTAACTCTTGTGACAAAAAATTTAAAGGCTGAAGGACATTATTTAACATACACACAAATGCCTTAGGGAACTACTTAGATTAGCACAACCACCAGTACAGTAAAAGGATGAAATGAAAGAGGATCTTCTCCATCAATGTATTTAAGAGGAAAAGAGAGAACAAAGTTGGGAAAGTTTCTTTCCAGATAAAAAACTGAATTTCTCTTTTAAACTTGCAAGCAACTGACTGCAGATTACAGATATTCTAAGACAGTATGAGGAATCAAACCAAGAACCCCTAAATTACAACACTTTACTCTCATGAGCTCCATGATGGCAAATTGTTCCCTTGATTCCATCAGTGCCACAGTGTACCTGTCCCCAGAACACAAGACATTCTACCCAACTTCACAAGATCAACTGCTATTGCAGACACAAGACCCTCTTCAGTCTAAAATGTAAAGTCATATCAAACCTTAAAGTGACTTTTGGGGTGAGCAAACAGCAGACTGAACAAACCAACAGCACAGGACATCATAGAAAAGGTGAATAATGAGATCGTTCACTCACCTTACTTTTTGAACCTTTCAGGGATGCCTCTGTAGGGGAACAGTATTCAAAAGCATCATGTCAGACAAGCATGTTTACATTGGATCAATGTAATAACTTATTTCTAGTAATGATGTACAATTTTCAGCATATGCAGAAAGTTACAAAGGCATGCAGAACTAAGTGTATTGCAGTTACCTATTTTCATAGTTCTGGCAGCTCCAGGTTTGGTATTGTAACAGATCCTTTGCAATTCACATTGACCTGTTAGTTTCCTGACCACGAATTTCAGGCAGCGCCACAAGCATTTGCAGTAGAAGTACAGGCATACCTGGACAAACATCCTGGCAAAAGAAGAAGCTTGAAAATAAGAGTCTGGAGCAGAGTTTGTTTCAACACGTTCACTACCCAAACAGAAAGCACTTCCTCAACCCAAATTCCCATTGTCTAAGGGCACCTTCAGAGCAAAATCAGCAATCACACTACAGATATTTATGACAGATGTTAAATTGTGCATTTTAGTATTAGCCAACACCCCCCACAAAAGCACTACAGCTAGAAGCACAGAATAAGTAAACACCAGAATTTTAAAAGAGTACTTGTGGAAAACTCTTTGTCCTCTTAACATAAAAGGCTGTATAGTTTCTACCAATGCTTTGGTGAATCAGGACTACATGAGAAGGCAGTGCAGCTCACCCTGATATAATGGATGCTGAGAATCCAGGAAGACATTACACCCTGGCTTAGTTTTGCCTCAGCAACCACCTGCTCCAAGCAGAATGCTTGGTTATCCTAACAAACTTGACATCCTGACAGCATTCATGTCACATGGAAGAAGGAAAATTAAGGCAATCAAACCTTCTCCCCTTGCAGAAGAAAAGGTGTTTGAGAACCTGTCTTCAGGACTGCCAGTTCTTCCCAAGATGAGCTGTTACATAGCAGTGATGCAGCACAATTTCTCAAAGTACAAAACTGACAGTAACCCAAGAAAGCCCTTATGTAGCTACTGTCCCAGCAACAGAAGAAAGACTTTGACAAACTGGATGTATTTCAGTGAAGATGGTAGGGTTGGAGCACAAACCCTGTGAAGAGAGGCTGGGAGGCTGTGTGGAGGATCAGAAACAGGATATCACGCCATGATCGATATCATCAAGTGAAGCCGATTTATTGCACAAAAAGGCTATATTTATACTGTGTTCTACTGTTCACGTGCCTTAAGCTAATCCATGATTGGTTAGCCCTAACTGTTCACATGTCTAATGTTAAAAGCTGAGTAGATTACTTCTCATCTTCACGTGTCGTGCTTGGTCATCTACTCTTCCCCACTATCTTGCTTCACATCCTGGACTTGTTTTTCTTCTTAGTCAGCTCTTCTTCTTTTCTTGCCCTCAAGGACACTCTGACCTTGATGATTGTTTCCATGAAGGCTGAACTGTGCATCTGTTACAAGTGTCCATTGTCCTGCAAAAAATCCTGCAAAAAATCCTCAACAATTCCTCTTTCTTGTTATTGCACAAGCCAGACTGAATTAATGGCACGTTCAGTTATCCTTTGTACACATTGTAATAAACAGGGTACAATAAGCAAAATTACTAAAATCATTCAAAGCACCATACTGCCAAAGCGGACTAAGTCTTTAAGCCAGCCAGTAATGCCCCAAGACTTTAGCCATTCATCAAAAGGGTTATCAACAACTGTAAGACTTTTCATGTTTTCTTTAAGTTGTGAAAGTTTCTTGTGAATTGATTCAGAGTGACCAGAAAGGTTCATGCAATACATTCCTTCAAAATCTTCACACCCATGCCCTTGTCACACTTGTGCTAACAATAAAAAATCTATGGCAGCCCTATCTTACAACACATCATGACACATGCTATCAGCATCAGTTGTGAGTTCCTTTAGCACCATGGATGTAATGTCAATCTGTTTCCCTGCCCAGCATGCCAGTCACCTCAACTGCATGAGGGCCTGTGTTTCAATAAGGGATAAACCTTGGCTAAAATTCCAACATTGTAAAAATAACCCTCTAAAGGGTGTGGGGGGAGGTTGTCTTTTATGACTAGGCCATAAAAATCTTGCTAGCACATGCTCAACATCAAGTGTATTAAGTATACTAAAACATCTATTGCAAACTAAATTAGTAGAGCTAAATTTTTGCTTTGTCCTGCAAGCTATAAAAAGAGTATTTTCCTGACGGACTTGTCGCCACCACTTCAATTTGCATTTAACACACTGGACCTATTAATTTCTCTCAGGGTTCCTAGGTCAGGGTGACACCAAGAGATCGAAAAGAGTCTTTGAGATTGTGAGAGTCCTCATTCCCTAGCCCGACGCAGCCAAAGAAGAAGCCTGGAATGCTTTCGATTGTGCTTTCAGGGATGTTTATTTCTTCTTATCTAAACATTCTTTTCTGACCTGCTGAGTTCTAGCTAGCAAGTCCACCATGGCCATCTGCCCTGAGCCCTGGGCAGCTCCCACATTATATACTCAAAACTATGTGTCTATGTTTACAATTTCTTCACTAATTCCTATCATGTATGTTAGACAGCAAATCTCTAACTTAAACCAATAGAAAAGTGCCACCATCACACCAAGACATGGAGGACAAGAAGAAGGGAAAGAAGGCTAGGACACACCCAAATTCCTCCATTTTGTACCCCCTTGAACCTCATTCTAAAAATCCCAAAATTCTTCTTTTCCCTGTGTAATTCAAATATCACACTACTCAAACCCTTGTGGCTTGCAATTCCTCATCCAGAGTTGTCAGTTTTCCACAGGCTAAAATCGAAGCCACAGATGTTTTTGACTTCATGCAAGGGTTTCTGAGACCCCTACCAGGGTCTCGAGACAGCCAGGGCAACCAGAGGGATTCCGGGACTCTGACATGGACCTTGATCCATGGTTTGCAAGAATAGCTGTGAACAGGACAAGCTTGTTCAATTTTGTTTAAAACCTGTGTTGGAAGTGGTGGTAAGCCACCGTTACGGGTTACTGCTACCCCAGGTACAGGTAGTTGGCCCACATCTGCTAATAGCCGTGGAAGAAATTTCAGTTGTTGTTCAGTTGTCAGATGCTGAAGTATCAGGTCCAGCTGTGTCTGAAGTCAGTGTTTTTGCTGACGTTCTGCTTCTGGGCAGAGCATTAGCTGGCAAGTGTAACTTCAAAATAGGTTTCACCACTTAGCTGGAATCCAGCAAATTCCTTTATATTAGTCTCCACCAGATGTACTGCAGAGTCAGTGATGGTAAGGTCTACTGTGGTTTCCATGTCCATTCCAGCACTTCCAGGAGTTGGTGATTGGAGTGAGTAAAGTCCTCCAGAAGGGGTTGAGTCACCCATGCAGCTCTTTGTCTCCTTGTGGTTCTGGTCATTGCTTCTAGCATGTCTACAATTTCTGCTCCCTTTTGCAAAGTGCCTAAAATCTGCCGAGTCTTACTGTTAGCATTGTCAAAGGCAAGCATCTTAAACAGCTTCTGCTTCATATCCGGATCGAGGTCGGGGTCATCATAGATGGCTCTGTGCAAGTGGTCTACAAATTTATCAAAGTCCTCATTTCCTCCTTGATGTTTCTGTGTAAAAGCCTGAGTATGCAGCCGATCTGGCAATGCAAGGATTGAGCTGTAAGCAAGTTGTTGGCTTAGATGCAAAACTTCCTCAATACTTTGGGTTTGGGTGGTTGCTGTGGACCAGGGACCTTCTCCTAATAATTGCTGAGCTGTGATTCCAAACAATGGGTCCCCTTGAGCCCAAAGTTTTGCTTCCTCTTTTTTACATGCTCCTTCCCAATTCTTATAAAACTGAATTTGCTGGTGGGGGGGTATGATTAATCTAACCAAGGTTTGAACATCAACTGGAATTAAAGTATCTGCTGTAAAAATAAATTGCAATAACAATTGTGCTAATTGAGACTTCAAGCCATATTGTGTAACGGCGCTTTTCAATTTTTCTAGTATCTTCTAATCAAATAGCTCCCATCCTCATCCTATGGCTTGGGTTACCACAGGGAAGGCTTCTATAGTACTGGGGGGAAAAGACCCCTCTATTATTGTTTAAGTTATAACTCCTTTCCACTTCCTCTTTTGTGTGGCTTCTATATCAGGGTCTAGCTCTAGTATCTGATCTGCTGTGGGTATCTGCCTCCCCATCTGTTTGTTGAGAGCTTTTTCGGAGCTTAAAACAGGTGGCAGCTCGTCTTTTCAAAAGAACAGTCCTTTTGGGAAGTGACTTGATCATTTTGTTGAATTACTAACTGTTGCAAATTATCTACCAAAGCTTTTAAGTCCTCTTCTACTGAGGCAAATTCTGACTCTGTCTTTTCTTCTTCAGCCTCATCTTCAGATAATGAGTGCACTACTTTTAATACTTCATCACCAGCTGCCCCCCTTTCCTGACTACCTTTGTTCTTGGGTTGGCAGCTCAAACCTCCAAGGGAGGTAGCTTCCTCACTCTGTCTCTGAACCGGGGACCTGGTTCCAGTAGCGCCCAGTTTGGGAACTGAAACCAGACTGGGGGTTTGTGGACCGTGTGTGGGAATGTCTAAGGTTGTGGAAAACAGTTGTTGGACTGGAAATGCCTGAGGTTTTGGATCTGATTCTGGGGCAAAGGCTCCACAGGCTGCTGCAGCAGCCTTTTTCTTTGCTTTCATAGTTCACAATACTCTATTTTTCCACAAGGAGGCATATTTGGATGCCTCCTTTACCTCGCTACCCCTGACACAACACTATCCCACAGCATGAGGCCCATGGCTTCCCATGTTGGGACCTCAAAGGTGACCTGTGCTCCTGATATGAGGTTGCGGTCCCAAGCCCAGTGAATAAGTCCTTTCAGAGCGGAAGCATCATATTTCTGCCCTCTCTTAGAGAGGATATGTTGGAGGAGTTTCTGGAGCCCATCTTTCCCATGGTCTGACCCCATCTCCTCCCCGGCCGCTCACCTGATCAGGATGAGTTCACTTAGTCTCTACTCGGAGTCCTTCTCCATGTCCTGCCGGGGCAGCAGGGATACTTTTGACCAGCTTCTCCACTCTCCGAGGACTGTCACTGACTCTTCCTGCCGAAGCAAAATAGCTGTCCTCAGGCCCCTTCACGGTATCACGTCGGGCTCACCCGAATGCAGAGGATCAGAAACGGGACACCACAGCATGATCAATATGATCAAGTGAAGCTGATTTATTGCACAAAAAGGCTATATTTATACTGTGTTCTACTGTTCATGCGCCTTGAGCTAATCCATGATTGGCTAGCCCTAACTGTTCACATGTCTAGTGTTAAAAGCTGAGTGGATTACTTCTCATCTTCGTGTGTCGTGCTCTGCTCCATCCCACTGTCTTGCTTCACATCCTGGA